AGAAAGAGATGGTCAACAAGACTAATTTGAAACCATCCCGAACGACCTGTCCTCTAGGTCCCTAATCCAGTTTCCAGTGGCACGGTACTATTCATCTCCCTTCTTGCCTCCACCTCCACACACAACTATGGATGAGAAGCAAAAGGACAGAAACTTGCAATCTACTTTTTGAACCTCCCAATCATGAAGCTTCGTTCTCTAGCTAAAATTCGAACACCAACTCGTATCACACACTCTCCCATTTCTAAAATCTTGCAATCTCTGTCACTATCCAACCTGAAAAGTCTTGGAAAAATTCATATTGAAGCTGCTTTACCGACCCTTACATTCTTCCAAAACATGATATTGCCGCCATTGTCAATGCTAAAGCGAAGCCCTTCTTGAATAGCAACACTGTTAGGAGATGAACCTGAGTGTACTGAGAAAATATCTTTCCAATAAAGAGATAAAAATTTCCCATAAAATATAGAATCCCATCCCTATAGATTGGCTTTATTTCTAGAATATGAATTATTGCCAGCCTGAAGAGCTACTATTACTGAGCTTGAAAAGTCAAGCCTTGGTTTTCCCTGTTCAAGAATTGAAACCTAATCAGCCTTATCTTTGCGGTATAGACACCATATCCCAAGCCAACTTTTAAACCTTTCGATTATCTAGTCTCCAACCAATTAGAAATGTTGTTACATAGAAACAACCCAATCTGCCTTGTTCTTCTTTTTTATTATATCTAGTTTGAGATAGGGTGTTATTTTCCTTCCTTTTAGATGTAGCCACACCCCCACCCTCGTTTCTCTCTTCATTTTGACTTTTTTGTGCTTGCATTCCTTTTTAGAAGAATATGATTGAAAGAAGTAGTACCCAAAGATCTAGCCATGGTATTATGGGTTTTGTCTCATGGCAATTACAATTAGGGGTATTGAGCAAATGATTTTGCTTTTTCTCAAATGTTGGTGATGAAGTTACTACGATTTTTCCTTATTTTGCTAGATCTGGTGCTTGTCAGCTTAGCAAATGCTTTAGAAAGCTTGAATAGGTGAACTTAATTGTGATCAAGGAGTATATTGGATAATTTGAATCATATTTATTCAATCTAAAATACTTTGTAGTTCAAATTACGTAATTTGATAATATAAATCTGAAATTGTCAAATCCTAATACAATAGGGATAAAATTTGCCATTAAACCCAGTTTTAATTATTCCTAATATAGATTAATAGCATGAAATGTCTTTTTACTTTTTATATTTTTTTAAATATATACTTTAAAATGTTTTTAATGCGACTCTTTTCATGATTTTTTGGCTAATTTTTTTTATCAAAAGTGACACATGAGAAAAAAATATAACGGATTATGACATATCAATTTTATTTAATACATAAAAGAATAAAAAAAAATATTACTTGTGATGACGTGTTAGGTTAATTGGTTTATATTTTCAATTATACAAACTAAATTAAACATGACTGAAACTATACGAACTAAACTATAAACATGCTATCTTCAACCTTCTTCTGCTCCTCTCACAGCTATCTTGCAATAAAAACCCAGAATTTGTTTGCAGATTGCAGATTTCTTAGTGAAAAACAGCAGGCAGCATTTTGTGTTTCAAAAACAAGTTCTGTACCAAACAAATATTTAATGAAACCCAAATTAATTTGAAAACTATTAATAAGCCAAATTAACATAAAACCCAACTTAATCTCCTCATGTTAAAAACCTGTTTCAATCCCCTCCTTTCTCTTCTCAAACATAAAACCCAGATTAATTTAAAAACAATCAACCATAGATTAATTTAAAACATGTTGGATTTTGTTGCAAGAAAAAGCTCAATTGGATTTTTGAATTGAACTATTGATGTTCGTTTTGGTGGCTTGGATGGAGATCAATGTCTGGACTTGGGACATTTCAAGTGGTTTTGGTTGATAGAGACTTTCAGGTGAGTAGCATGCAAGAGAAGCAGCAGCATGGGTCTGGTACTGTGCTATATATGGTTTGGTCTGGGTTGCTTACTGAATTCACATTTTTGCGATATGGTCTTGTGTTGCTGTTATTGACAGCATAATTCTTGGTTGCTCTGCAGGTTTGGGATGATTTTATCTTTAAAGCTGTAAATTCAATTCGCCAAGTACAACAAAATGAATTTAGCCTGTCTTAATGTTATTTCGCTAGCACTTTAGAGAAATGGCTCAACTTTTCTGGCACTCAGATTAAATGCTACGCAACCAAAGATTATTCCAAATAAGGTGTTAATCGCCTGCTGCATGGGGTGCAGGAGATGGACGTTGGAGAGCATTCCACTAATGGAAAAGATTATTTGAGAAAGCAAAGAACTGAATTCCATGCATCAACACAAAAGGCTATTCCAAAATCAAGAACAACCACCGGATATAGGAATAAAGCAAGGTTCCTTTTCATCAAAGCGATGTACCAGCAAAGGTTCCAAATGAGCACTCCTAGCGAAACTAGCTTCTTAGTGATGAAACCGTACAATGAAGGACAAAGTTTAAGATTTTACTCTTGCAAAAAAAGAAAAAAATGATTGATGAATAGTCAAATCACAAATGAATCTTTATAGCTAGCTTCTAATGGCAGCTAGCATTTACAAATGGCTGCGAATTTTATTCTCGTAATAGTTTCACTTTATAAACTAAAAAAGCAAAGCACAGATACCAATGGATTGCATATATAGGATGGGCAAATGGCTTAATTAATTATCAAAAACTACAAGGTAGCTAGCTGTAGGTTTTTTCTCCAAAAACAAGTTTTTGTTGGCGGGCATTGAATCAACGAAGAGGTAGGTAGGTAGGTAGAGGAGCATTTGGATTACTTCCATTACTGAAAGGTACAGTTTTTATTAATTTATTAATTTTGTTTTCAGATAAGTACTTACAATTACATTATTTTAATACAGAGAGAGATCAGCTAGTAATGTATTCTGATTCAAAAAAGAAACCTTATGGGGCAGCCATGATTGAAGATTGGGAAAGCATGATTGCCCACTATAAATTATTGGATCCCTTAAAGTTGCTCGATCCAGTTACGCCCTCCGGGGATACTGCACTCCATGTAGCAGTGTGCAGCAAAACAGAGCGACCGCTTAAAGATTTACTTGATTTCCTACCCTCTATTGACCAAGGTAATGATCTCTTGAGGCGTGAAAACAACTATGGAAATACGGTTCTTCACGAGGCAACCATCTATGGAAATTTTGAGGCAGTAAAACTATTGGTGGAACGTTGTCCAGACCTAGTTTCCATTCCAAATATATATGGTGAAACCCCATTGTTTACAGCTGCTGAATTTGCTGATCCAGAAATAGTGAAATTCTTGCTTGTGTCACTATCAAAAGAAATAGTGGATGAAGATGGCCGCCTAAAATCAATTCACCGCCAGCGACCTTATTTAGATAATGTCTCCATCCTTAGCGCTACTATCGTAGCGCAAGACTATGGTAATAAATTCTCTCTTTAATTCTCAAATTAAAATATAACAAATATTTAAGATATCGTATAATTTCGGCATGGATTCTATTGATGGGTCCATAGATTGTCATATGTAAACAAATCAAAATAAAATAAAATCAGGAAATATATGATTTTCCTTAATAATGTCTGTTTAATTGATTCTTTGTTCTTTAATATTAATTAGCTCCATTATATTCTCTAATAAATATTGCAGAAACAGCTTTAATGTTGCTAGAAGTGGATAAATGGCTCCACAGCTTGAAGGACAACAACGGCATAAGTGCTCTTCAACATCTAGCCTACACCCCATCTGCTTTTAGGAGTGGATCATCTCCCATGGGCATGCTTGAAGGAATCATCTACAGCTGTATGTGTACATATATATTGCCTCTTAATGTGTATAATTTAGACTCTAAACTATTTAATTAATTAACTTCTATGCACTAAATTACGCTGCAGGCCTCCCTGTTGTACTCCCCGCTGTACGTCGCCGCAAGGTAAAAAAATTGCAGGAAGAAAATTCGGGCCAGCCATGGCAGGAGTTGGGAGATCTGGAGAGCGGTTTGGGGAGGACCCCAAGAGGCTGCCTACTCGGCTATTTAAATGTCTTTATTAAAGGTATTGGACCCTATTGAGCCTTGTTCTTTTGGTTTAAATACTAGGTGGTAGTATTAAGCTACCTTTGTATTATTGGTCTACCTTGTCCTTATCAAAGGTGTGTTAAAGGAGTGAAATCAATCATGTCTAAAAGCTTTTTACTTTAAAACTTAGAAAGTTTGTTAGAGAATTATATAAATCATATCCTAAAATCTTACTCAATACCTTAACTTTTTGAGTCCATATGATTTTTTGATAAGTTTTAGTCCTTCTCATGCATTGTTAGCGAGTTAATATAAAACCATTATAAAGCAATGTAAACCATATCCCGAAATCCCATGGGCATGTTTCACTTGATAGGTTAAGCTTTTAGATTAATATGTTATTTGACATTTGTTGTAATTCTATTAATTAATTAAAAATTTCAATACAAAATAATAGTGAGTCTGCATAAGTTTAAAGTTTAAAAAGCTTTTGTTTTAGAAAATGTGTTAATGAGTTAATCTAAACTCATTCTTAAGACCTTGCATAATAATTTAAGCTTTTGAGGTTCAAAATACCTTGTACGTAATTAACTAGAAGAGAAATAGAGATGGTGAGATTCGAACTCGCTATCGTTTGGTCATAAAAGTTCTGATACCATATCAAAGAATCATATTAACTCAAAAACTTAAATTGTTATGTGAAGTTTCATGAATTGTTTTATATTATTCTCTAACAAAGAGTAATTAGTTAAAAATTCTCTATATTTTTGTTGGTGTTGCATTGAGATAACTAATTAATTGTGCTTCCACTGAATTTAGCATGTCTACATTTTGTTTCTCTTTCTACTATTATTATTTATAGTTCTTTCTATTTCATAAAAATGGCTAGCTCTCAAGCATCCATGTTTGATTTCATTCCCTTTCGTGCATAAACATAAATAGGATATCGGCCAGCATGGCTACGAAGATTGTGGGACGAGAAAAAAAGCATGTATTTGCTTTCAGGCTTGCCGAAATCCTAATAGAGCAAGAAGGATCATGGGATCCAGACGAAGGAATAAAATACGAACCGGAAGTGGTCCCAACTTCCAACCCATCCCAAAATATTGGAGGACAAACTTCTGCAGATCAAAGTAGTGACGCATCGACTACTGACAGTGAACAAGGTGATCAAAAAAATGTTCTCCAAAGCAAAGAAATAGTAGAAGTCCAAAGCCAACCAGCACAAACCTCAGCGTCAAAGCCATTGTTAACTAGTAAGGAGAAGCCACTGTTTACTGCAGCTAGACAAGGAATAGAAGAGATTGTGAGTGTGATACTAGAACAACATCCTCAAGCTATTGAGCAATTGGATGACGATAGGCGGAGCATTTTGGATGTGGCCGTCATGTATCGCAAGAACGAGATCTTCAGTCTTGTAAAGCGAAAGAAAGTACCATTGGCTAGACTGCGTCGGCGTATTGATAAAGAACGCAACACATTGTTACACCATGTTGCAGATATGACGCACTACAGTGGAGGAACCAGGCCTGGGCCTGCACTTCAACTTCAGGAAGAGATGCAATGGTTCGAGGTGAGCCCTTCTCATCCCTTTATCTTTACCTCCTGAGAAAATTTATTGATGGACTTAGATACAAGATTATCCCTGTAGTTTATAATGCATATCTATATAAGCATTCATATATAGAAAATGCCATTAAACTTTTCTTTTTCTTTTTTGAGAAATCAAAGTGAATGCAATATCATTTGTTTGTCATTCTCTTTAACTTCTTCTACAATCATTTTAAATCTTATTTTTTCAACAATATTAATTACATCATAATTTTACGATATAACGAAGTCCAAAATATTTCTTATCAATACTACAATTAATACCCATCCAACACTCTTGTAGTATTCTTATAACAAAACAATTTAACTTACTTTTTTTTTCCAAATAATTCCACTTAATGTATATTAATTACTAATGTTTTCTTTGCACAAAAATCTCAAATTACAATTCTTTTTATATACTACAAATAATTGCATTGTTTAAAATCATTATCTTTAATGTTACATTTCTCATATATTACTCACCTGTAAAAGCCACTGAATCTTTTCTGGTTAATTATCATCTATCTTTGCCTCAAGAAATGAGATTAAGAGCTCATTTTAATCGAAAATTTTGGGTTGGGGTTTCCTGTGATAGCTATCATATATTTATCTCCCGATTATTGCAGCGAGTGAAGAAGGTAATTCCATCCCATTATGCCACGCTTCCGAACAAAAAAGGCGATACAGCAAAAGAGCTCTTCGAAAAGAGCCACAAGGACCAACTGGAGAACGCACAAAAATGGATCAAGGATACCGCTCAGTCTTGTTCAACTGTAGCTGCACTTGTAGCTACTGTTGTCTTTGCTGCTGCCTATACTGTACCTGGAGGTTCTGATGAGAAAGGCACCCCCAACTTCATCAAATCTCCCTATTTTCTGGTTTTCACTGCATCGGATGTTGTCTCCTTAGCAAGCTCCTTGACTTCGCTTGTGGTGTTTCTCTCTATGTTGACCTCTCCATTTGAGCTGGAAGATTTCCTTGTCTCTCTTCCTCGGAAACTTATTATTGGCTTCACCTTCCTCTTCTTCTCGGTGATGACCACCATGCTATCTTTTGGGACAACAATTTTGATACTCATTCAGTCAGAGAAAAAGCTAACTACATTACTCCTTTCTACTGCTGCATTCCTTCCAGTCTCCGTATTTGTAATAATGCAATTCCGTCTGTACGTCTCATTGATGGGCTCTACAATCAACTTTCTCAATATAACCAAGAAAGCTCTTCGTTCCTGTTTTGTCCCTCGCCTACGAGGGGGAAAAAGCTCTTCTGAGCTAGGTATTGGAGGTTTAAGTAGCATGAAGTCCTTGATCTTGGCTGGTTTCGACCTAGCCCATTGATCATTATACATAGTGTGTTGCAAAATCTATATATGGTTGCTGTTTAATTTCGTGATATTTATGAGGTTGTGTACTCATCAAGTCTGGGCATGTAGCCAATAAGTATTAGAAAACAAGGAAGCGAATGCAAACATAAATCAGGTGCGCATATATAACAATTTCTGGCAAATTGGAAAGTGCTCGTGTGTCACATGACAGGCTTTTTTTTTTTTTTTAAGATAGAATTGCAAAAGTGAAAGAAATTCTATGTAAGGAGGATTGAATGTTAAGCAAGAAAAGATGATTCGGCCAACCTCAATGGTACTGTGCCTGTGGTTTGGTCAAATCACAAATGCATCTTTGCAGCTTCAAAAGGCAGCTTCCATTTACACCATTCACTTTTTTTTTTTTTTTTAATGAGGTAAAGCTAGATACTTGTGGGTTTTAAGCTTTGGTACACCTTAGCATCGTCTGGGCCGAACAATACATAATTTCCTGTAGATATCAGTTGAGACCACTTATGTTCAGTTTGTGCATAGCAGCCAATTATCTGCATCGTATATGCCAATGGCAACCACTTATGTTCCTGCTCATCAGTGCCTTCTCCTTTAATAGCAGGTATAAACATTCCCTGCCCACCATTTTCGAAAAAAAGTTCCAAATTATAGCAAAGAACTAATTAATTCCATTCATCGAAACAAAAGGCTATTCCAAAATCAAGGACAAGCACTGGATATAGGAATAAAGCAAGGTTCCTTTCATCAAAGCGTTGTACCAGCACTTTCGAAAAAAAGTTCCAAATTATAGCACTCCAAGCAAGGATTACTCCAACGTTCCATGAATATGAAACCAAATGTAATGCAACCCAGCAAACTTCTATTTTTCCTCCTTTAAAATGTGATGGCTAGCAATTTATGTACCTTTTGATTTTCCCTATGTACATGACTGGTTGGTGGTCTCTATAGATGATTACTAGCACAATCATTGTGGATTGTTAACTATTAGTCAAGACTCAAGAGTGAGCAATATTTTGCAAGTTGTAATTGACAGTACTTGTATCAATTTCCATTAATACCATGCTGTATAAGTGCAATAGTTGTTGAATTTTTCCTTGAGAAGTATGTTGTTGGCATTCTTTATTCTAAAGTGTTGGCCTGATGCACCCAGAATACACTCGCGTGCTTGTTTCAAAGGAGAATGAGTCCATCAATGGTGGACTAAAATTTCAACAGTCACTACTGTTACTGGTGTTGAATATTTTACTGTCTCTATGATTTCATAGGTCTCTGCTATGGTGTGAATTATAGACAGCCTAACTACCGGTGGCCCCATTCTGCAGAAAACGAAAAAGTGTGCAAGATGTAAAGGTAAACGTGGAACACGCCATTGCACTAATGAAATTAAAGAAGGATTTTACACTATGATAAAGTGATGTTTCACAAAGGGATAAAAAGTGTGCAAGATGTAAAGGTATTTGATAAAGGGATAAAAAGCAGAATTGGGGTTCTTATCATAAAAGTGATGTTTCACAAAGACAAGTACTCTTTGAAAAGGCATCTTAGCATGACACTGCAGCATTCGCAATTATTGTGATAGAAATCTAGATGCGTTTTATATTGGCCAAGATTGACTAGATCGAGTGTAGAAAAAGCAGGATTTTAACATAAAAATGGTGACAGATATCGATTATTGAATGTTGGAACAACAGGGTTTGTTTGGTTTCAGCTTTCTTCCTATCCAACATGCTGCAGCCATTGATGCGCTCCTGTAATGCTGATGTTGTTGATACCAAACAGAAAATCAATGGACATCTGTATCGTGCTCTAATGAAGGGCGACAAGAAGACGGTTGCAGATCTCTGCCAAAGAATTCCTGATCATGCGTTGCACGTAATAACAGTAAATGATGATACGGTACTCCACATGGCCACATACGCCAAAGAAGCAGCCTTGGTGGAAAAATTGCTAGATGAGTTGCCTGATCATCATGTCGTCAAGTTGACCCGCCAAAATCGTGTAGGAAACACAATCCTCCATGAGACTGCCACTAGCAACCACGCAGTTGCTGTTGCAGATAAACTGCTAAAGAGAGCCCCCGGACTGTTAGGCATGCGAAACCACAACGGGGAGACAGCTCTCTTTCGTGCAACCCGGTATGGTAAAACCGATATGTTCAACACTCTTGCTGCTAAAGTCTCTGCATATGATGAAGACAGTCTGCAATTTTATGTTCAGAGAAGTGATAAAACCACCATCCTTCACATTGCAATTCTCTCTGGGCACTTCGGTAAGCATTACAAATCATAAGTTTATATCTTAGGAACTTCTGCTTGATCCATAAGGTAGAAATTAATAAAATCTCTTTTCTGAGGGATGCTGAAGTTGTTATTCTGGTGCTCAAGATTTTTCTTATTTATTTCTCATAAAAATTAATGAAAAAAACAGAGTTGGCATACCAAATCGCATTGGAGTACAAGCATTTAATTGGTGAAAAAGACTGTGATGGAATGACGAGTCTTCAACTTCTCTCATGCAACGCTTCAGCTTTTAAACAAGAGCCTGAAGACGGATTCATTAAGTTAGGTACGAATGCTTGCTCAGTTCCTTTTTGCTAATCACAGAATACGTAAATGCAACTAAACATTTCTGACTTACTTTATCCCTTGGAAAGCAAAATCTTGTTGCAGTACAGCTTGGGGGAGAAGGTTCAAGACCAAAAACGTAAATATAAATCAGCTGTGGCCCTTGCCAAGCTTTTAGCTAGAAATGATACCTCATGGGAAGTTACTTACTCTAGCATCGACCAAAGCAAGCCTAAAATACACAGATATGGAGAGATGGGTGGCCAAGAAGGATTGTCTTTGTCTGCTAGAATTCCTGAGAGAATGGATGATGTTGGAGAAACTCCTTTGATTTTAGCTACTAAGTCAGGCATTGTGGAGATTGTGGAAGAAATACTCAGACTTTACCCTCAAGCAGTTGAACATGTTGATGACGAAGGTCGCAATGTATTGCATGTCGCAATCAAATATCGTGAGTTAAAGATTTTCGAGCTTGTGAAGAAAATGGAAGTGCCTATGAAGAGGCTGGTAAGAAAGATCGATAATGATGGGAATTCTATTCTGCACACTGTTGGAATAAAGAGGAAGGATTTTGTTTCTGAGAGGATGGAAGGCCCTGCATTCCTATTACAAGAGGAGTTGCTATGGTTTGAGGTGCATTTTTAGACCTTTAGAATCCCCCTGTGCTTACTTATAAATCACACACAGACTGCACTAATCTTCAATCTTTAAGCAATTGAAACAAAGTTGAGGCATTTGCGTTGCATTTCCACATACTAAACCAAAAAGATTAAAGGTCTAATACTTTTTTTCTTTAGGAAAATTAAGTAATTGACATATGTTCTGATTGTTTATTTGTGCGAGAATGCAGCGAGTGGAAAAGATCACTCCACCTCATTTCCTGAACCACCAGAACAATCAGAAGCTCTCTGCAGAAGGGTTTTTTATTACTGCAAACTCTGAACTTCGTAGCACGGCGAAAGATTGGATGAAGAGCACAGCAGAAGGATCCTCGGTTGTGGCAGTTCTCATTGCTACAGTTGCCTTTGCAGCAGCCTACACAGTTCCAGGAGGTCCAAATCAGAGCACTGGTGTTCCTGTCCTCGTCAATAAACCATCCTTTGTGGTTTTCACTGTATCGGACGTACTATCCCTTACCTTTTCTTTGACATCAGTTGTCACATTTCTCTCTATCCTCTCATCACCGTTTCGATTTAAAGATTTCAGGCATACCCTTCCCAATAAGTTGATGGCAGGATTCACATTTCTGTTCCTCTCAGTAGCTATGATGATGGTAGCATTTGGATCCACAATCATTCTGACAATATACAACAAGGAAAGTTGGGCAAAAGTCACTCTATACACAGTCTCTTTTATCCCAGTCTGCATCTTTGCACTATCTTATTTTCCTCTCTATTCATCACTATCAAAAACTTACAAATATTTGGTCGAAAACTTTCCTCCAAGTAAACTTGTTCTAGCCATGCCTTGTATGATGGTGTCTGAGTGTTTCAAATGTTGTCAAGTCCAAACCTCAGATTCCCACATTCCATGAAACCCCCTCATGGATGATAATATGTATTGTTGTTAAGAGTGTGCAATAAGTTACTGATTTGTTCATAATTGTAGGATTTCAATCAAATTTAAACCAATTTCTGATGAGCGAAGATGATCCTTGTTGCCGATACAAATGAATTCCTTTGAAGTGCTACAACTATTTATGACACAACAAGCAAACAGATGGGGAAAAAAAAGTAGAATATATGTTTCTTTTATCCTTTCTCAACATCTGCTAATCTGGCAGTCTGGTGCTTAAAAAAATCTCACCTGAGTTGTCAAAAAAAAAAAAAACAAGTAAATTTAGTATACAATTCAATTAAATCAAGCTGCAAGATTTGTCCTTTAGGAAAGCATTGCACTGATGGAAGAAACTTCAACTTCGATCGCAGGATTAGATACTAATATGCTACCATATGCTAATATACTATCATTATTCCAAATCAATTATGAGTTGTAAAGACTGCTGTGCATAACATGGGAATTTCTATGGCATTTCACTAATGAAACAAGATTAAAGACAAAACAGAATTTAATTCCATGAATCAACACAAATGTTATTCCACAATCCACAGTCCACATAACAAGATTAAAGACAAAGCAAGCTGATTCCTTCTCATCAAAGTGCCAATCAGCACATGAAGCAAGACTATAAACTAGTAGCTAGTTAGTGATCATAACTGTACAATAAAGAAAGGACAAGTTCAAGATTCTAACTCTGGCAAGAGTATAGACGACAGATATTATGGTAGAATATTATACTTTGTCTGCGTATTTGTCAAGATTAACAAGATCATGTTATAAGATAGCAGAAATATGATACCAAATGACCAAGTTATGGCTGAGGATTGGAGCAGCATAAGGTAAAACCTGATGCATTCCAGTACTATTGAAGTCGATCCTAAACAGAAAATCAAAGGAGACTTGTACTATGCTCTGATGACAGGAGACAAGAAGAGAGTTGCAGAACTTTGCCAAAAAATCCAGGATCATGCGTTGCACATAATAACAGTAAAAGATGATACTGTACTTCACATGGCTACATATGCGAAAGAAGCAGCCTTGGTAGAAAAATTACTCGATGAGTTACCTGACCATCATCTCAACAAGTTGACTCGCCAAAATCGTGTAGGAAACACAATACTCCATGAGACTGCCACAAGCAACCATGCTGTTGCTATTGCAGATAAACTGCTAAAGAGAGCCCCCGGATTGTTAGGCATGCGCAACCACAATGGGGAGAAAGCTCTCTTTCGTGCAGTCAGGTACGGTAAACGTGATATGTTTAAGTTCCTGGCTGCTAAAGTCTCTGGATATGACGAAGCCGGTCTGCAATTTTATGTCCAGAGAAGTGATAAAACCACTATCCTTCAGATGGCCATTCTTTCTCGTCATTTTGGTAAGCATTGTCAACTATAAATTCATTTCTTCCCCACTTCTGCATGTTAATTATATTTGGCAGAAAATAAGCAATGTAATGTGATAGAAGGAAAAACTTATGCGGTTTCATTGGACTACAGATTTGGCATACCAAATTGCATTGGAATACAAACATTTAATTGGTGAAAAAGACGGTGACGGGATGACTGCTCTTCAGCTTTTATCTTGCAACCCATCAGCTTTTAAACAAGAGCCTGAAGATGGATTCATTAGTTTAGGTATGGAAGTATGATCACTGCCTATTCAGTTTTCACTGATTCATTGAAATCAATCTAATTATGTCGCTTCCTGTCTATCAAAATGATTCCCATCTTTTTCTGTCAATCCTCTTAACACTCACCGAACATGCCTTGTTTCTGCATAATAAATTCATCCTTAGGTAACGGAATTTAAATGCAACTGATCATTTCTGATTTGAATTATTTCTTTGAAAGCTAAATCATGTGGAAATTCAGCTTGGAAGGAGAAGGTTCAAAAGCAAAAACAACAATACAAATCAGCTGTGGAGCTTGCCGAGTTTTTAGTCAGGAAAGATACCTCCTGGGAGCTTACATATCCTAGCATCGACCGGAGCAAGCCTAAAATTCATAAATATGGAGAGAAGGGAGGCCAAGAACGGCAGGAAGTGCTGTTGTCTAACAGGATTCTAGACCAAATGGAGGGTGTCGGAGAAACTCCTTTGATTTTGGCTACAAAGTCAGGCTGTGTGGAGATTGTTGAACAAATACTAAAACTGTATCCCCAGGCAGTTGAACATATTGATGATGATGGGCGCAATGTACTGCATGTAGCAATCAAATACCGCCAA